AAATATTGGGGGGCTCTACCCTTCCTACACTTGAGGAAGTGTTTGCTCGGCTTCGCAGGATTTCTTTGGGACAGACAGAGAATCCCACACAGTCTGATAGATCAGTTTTTGTGACAGCTAGAGGAGGTGGACGTGGTACGAAAGGGGGAGGACATGCCTCCCGAGGAGGTCGTGGTGGTTCCATATTTGGCCGTGGTGGTGGTGGTTCCATATTTGGAGTTGTTTGCAGACTTTCCTGTGGATGACATGCTAAGAAATTGGAAAGAGATTGCTTCCACTGCTAGAGGCAAGAGGACTCTTTGTCAGTAGTCTTGGTCCCCTCCCCCCTCAGGATTTGTTAAGCTGAATTTTGATGGCAACAGTGTAAGGAATCCAGGGCCTTCTAGGATTGGATGAGTTTTCAAGAATGAGGAAGGGATTGTTATTGCTTTATTCTCTGGCCCTATTGGAGAACTTAGGGCTGAGATCCTTGCAGCGCTTAAAGGAATTCGAAGAGCAAAGGAATTAAATATCAGCAGTTTGATCCTGGAAGGTGATTCGCTGGCTGAAGAGGACAGTGGTTTGTGGAACTTTAACAATGAAAAGAAACAATTCTTATGGCTGTGTAGGGACATTGAGATTCAGTACAGCTGGGTGAAAAGGAGTGCCAACTCATTTGCGGATGGGTTGGCCAAGCAAGGAGTGAATAGGGAGTCTGTATTTTGGGCTAGTTTTTAATTTTCTCTCTTTGTATTCTGTTATTGGGGAGCTAAGATGTTTTATCTCCCCTCTTGTATCCATATTCCCTCTTTTCTTTTAATTTAATGAAGGTGATGTTATTGATAAAAAAAAAATTAATGAATGAAAGTTGCTGTTTCCAATAACAAAAGTTATCAAACTTTCCAGGTTTCTAAAGTCTTTGCTAGATTAAGAGGATTATTTGGGATTGAGCCTAACAAGAAGGTGAAGAAAGCCAAAGAAGTCAGGAAGAGATTTAAAGAGATGGTGACATTTGTTGTAGGAGCTGATTAATCTGTTTGGTTTCGAGTGGTGCATTGGTGTCTTCCAGTGGTCATTTGTGATGAGTTCATGTATTGGTTGGGGTTGGTGGGGTTGAAGGTTGCGCTAGTTTGGTGGTTGGTCATCTGTGATTTTGGTACGTTTTTTTTTTTGTTTG